ATGCAAAATATGTACACACACACAGAGGAAATGAGGAAGAGAGTAAGGGAAGGAGAAAAAGAAGGGAGAGAGAGAGACAGAGAGAGACAGAGAGAGAGAGAGAGGAGAGAGAGAAGGTTAGACAGGGTTAGACGGCCAACCATACACTATGAGTAGTTAAACTTCTGTAGAAGGAGGGCCACTTGGTTGTTCCCACCACTTAGCTCTGAAATAATTTCACTTTTAAAACATTGCTTGGCCCATTAGCTCTAGCTTCTTTTTGGCTAACTCTTAAATCTTAATTTAATCCATTTCTATAATCTGTGTATTGCCACATGGCTGTGGCTTACCAGGTAAAGTTCAGGGTGTTTGTTTATAGTGGGGCTACATGGCTTCTCTCTGACTATGCCTACTTTCTCCCAGCATTCAGTTTAGTTTTTCCCACCTAGTTCTGTTCCCCTATATCTCTGCTATAGGCCCAAAGTGGTTTCTTTATTAACCAATGATCTGTACAGCATATAGAGGGGAATCCCACATCAAACTTCAAGTCTATGTGACAACTCTGGGAAACACTTTAAAATATTTGTTTTAAAATTACACTTTAGGCTTCCTCTCAGACCCTTATCAAAGACTTGGATATCCCTGGACTGCCATGCCCAGAGAAGATAGTTTCTGGAAAAAACCCTCTTGCCAAGAGGTGTTGCCATTAGCAGTTGGAGGTGTGTCTTGGCAGGACTAGAGGGAGCTGGGTAAAGGGGCAACCGCCTCTGCTGCATCTTTATCTGTTGATGAGAATGCTGGTTTGGAAAGTACAGGAGCAGGTTTGAGAGTCGAAGAAGCAGCCATCTGTAGAGACCCACATCCATAAGAAATGACAGAACCTGTTTCTTTCTCTGTATGATTCTTCAGAGGGAAACTTCTGAAGCAGTAGAGGGCAGATCAGGCTGTCAGCAAAGCAAACTAAAGACAGGGACAGAGTAGGCTGTGAAGATCCAGGCTGTGGTAGCTTCCTAAAGTTTGGATGCCCAGCTGGCCACTAGACATGACTTGGGTTGAGTGACTTTCCTGGGGACATATTAAATGCCTAGTCATCATTAACAGAACAAATAAATCCTTCTATCCAGGTCAACTTGTACCAATGAGTATAGTGAGGCCATTTACAAGAGCGCAGATAAAGAGCTCTAAGATCATGGACAACCTGAAGGCATTTACGCTACTGAAAAATCTACTCCAGCATGATAGCTGCCTCTCTGGAGCTCAGTGCTCAGCTGCAGAGCCCCCCGCTGCCCCATGCTGCCTCTCTGGAGCTCAGTGCTCAGCTGCAGAGCCCCCACTGCCCCATGCTGCCTCTCTGGAGCTCAGTGCTCAGCTGCAGAGCCCCCGCTGCTCAGAAACCCTCTACTACTTCCACAGCCTGGGAAAGAAGTTTCCTGAATCTTGTAACTTTGCGGGCTTCCTGAACCTTGGAAGTTTCTTTGACTTTCAGAGTTTTATGAATTTTTTCTCGAGGAAAAGTTCAGTTTGGACAAAATGGATTCATAACACAGATGTACATAGTATTTCACAGTGGAGGGACAAAGAGTCTGTGGCAGGAGTCATGATGCATGATTAATAAAAACTCAGAGAGAGAAATTGGGGTTCAACCTGAAGGCCAGAAAAGCAAAGCAGTCAGCCACTGGCTCTTACATCTACCTCAGTCTGAAATGGCGATCCTGCTTCCTGGAATCTCAGCATGACACTGCCTGAGAGCTGTCTCCTCCTGTTTTATAATCTGCTCTAGGGCTGGGATTAAAGGCATGCAATGCCCAATTTCTATGGCAAATCAGTGTGGCTACTGGGATCAAAGGTGCGTGTTATTGCAGCCTGGTCTGTAAGGCTGGACAATGTGGCTGTTTTGCTCTCTGAACTTCAGACAAATTTTATTTATTAAAATAAAAGTGCCACTAGAGAGTCACTTCAGGAAAATGAGACCTCCATGTGGTCAGAGAAGGCATGGGTCAATGGGACACATCCTTCCTCCAATCCAAGTAGATTAGAGCGGCAGGTGGGACCTATGCATTAGAAGTATTGTTTTGTGTCTCTTACTGTCTGTAGAAGAGAAGGTGTTGGGGAGTTGGGTGGGAGTGGTTAGCATATCTAATGGGTATGAGTTATGGTCTCTGCTCACATTGTGTCAGATGTATCGTCTCCAGAGCGCTGGCACCTGAGGAAACTTAAGATGGCCAAGGCTCTTATCACTGGATACCGTGTCATTGTTGGTGTATCTCTACAAAAGGCCAGTGTCCTAGGCTTCAGCAAATGCCCCCTGCACGAACTTATGAGTGCCAGCCTTTGTCAGGAGCTGTGATTCATGTGTTTCACCTGTCTGGTAGTGATCCTGGCAGATATGCCCAAGAATTTCCTTGAGAAGGCAGATCAAACATTAATTACCCATTATTATACGAAAGCATTGGATCTAAGATGGATGTGATATTGTACATCTGTAATCCCTGCATTCAAGAGGCTGAGGAGGGAGGACCCAGGGTCAGCCTGGATGTTGGTCTCAAAAAACAACAAACAAACAGAGCAAGCTTATGCATGCTATTGTTTTCCTCAGTCCTGCATTCAGGTTCCGAGGAGAGATGCAGAGGTGTCAGGATACGCTAGCGATGGAAGAGAATTAACGGGGAAACACGTAAAGCAAACATGTGACGCTTGCTTGTGTTTCCATCTACTCAGTGACATAGCTGTTTATGGAGGAAGGAGGGAGAGATGAGTCAGGCCGGTCCAACAGGAGGCAGCAGCCGCACCAGTCATGTGGATGAGGGGAGTGAGCATAGAATTGGAACTGTTAAGCCTTTCAAAGGGATGCTGAGATACAGGAGGCAGATGAGCCACAAAAGCAACACCAGTAAGGACCTGGAGAGAGCAGGCAGAAAAGGAATTCAAATGTGAAGGATGAGAAGATGAACTTGAAGGAGGGCTCTAGAGCATTAAAAATAAAACAAACAGCCGGGCGGTGGTGGCGCATGCCTTTAATTCCAGCACTCGGGAGGTAGAGGCAGGAGAATCTCTGTGAGTTAGAGGCCAGCCTGGTCTACAAGAGCTAGTTCCAGGATAGGCTCCAAAGCTACAGAGAAACACGGTCTCAAAAACAAAACAAAATAAAACAAAAAATTAAAACCAAACAACAAAGCAATGGCCCATGTTTTCAAGACTGCTTTTAGTCAACCGAGGACCAACAACCCTTTGAGCAGGAAGGACGGGAACCCTGCTGGCATCTTCAAGGCATCCCTCCTGCCCAGCCTCACTAAATCTTTAGAGTAAAAACATACTAATGGCCAAGCTTGCCCACTACCTGCAGATGTTACAGGCTCACACCTGATAAGCTTTAAAATAACCAGAATGTAAGGCTTGGAGAGGAGCCTGTGTGAAGTCTCTGTTAAGACACAAACAAACATGCGGTAGACAGAATGTACGACCCAGATGATGGGCCAGCTTAGATGCTCCTGACTGTTCAGCCAATAAGGAAGGGAGGAAGGTACCATCATTCATGGCCATCCTAGCCTTGCCTTATTGGTGAGCTCCAGACCAGGAGGTGAAGAGAGCTCCTGAGTAAGACAGGTGGGATTGTCCTCTGGCCTTCACGGGCATGTGGACACATGTGCATGCCCCCACGCATGTGTGCCTGTGCACGTGAATACATGCACATGTGTACAGATACGTGTTTTAAAAAGTACACTAAAACCGTGATGGCCAGTGGGACTGGGAATAAGGATCACATGTTCACTCCATAGCATCCACTCAGAGTCCAACACAGGGCGAATGGTTCCTGACCCCAGTTATTTATATATTTCCCCTCTTTCTCCTGCTTGCTCGTGAAACATAGAGCAAGGAGTTCATGCATGTTATAGCTACACGTCTACACGTGATACAGCTTCACTTTACAATACAGCTGGTGTGCGAGAAGTGCTTAGTTTCATGTGCTGGGTTACATGACACCCACAGTGACCTAGGTGCCTCTTTAACAAGAAAGAGCTGGGTATGCAGGGAGGTACAGGTGGCAAACCACGTGCTTGATCATGCGCTCCACCCTCTCTTTTACCTTCCTGTCTCTTGGAAGAGAATCATGTCTCTTCCAAGAGGAAAACTGTCACCCGAGTGACAGAAAAAGCCTGTAATATGTTAGCCAATAGATCAGTGAGATTACTTTAACTCAAATAAAATTTCAAAACCTATTCCTCAGTCGGGGCTGCTGCAGTCCGGGGGCGCCATGGCTACAAATGACTACTGACCACTCCACCAGACAGCAGAGGGTATTTCTGTCATCACAGGGAGCTCCGCAGTCAGTAGTCTATCGGTGTGGTGTGCTGTTGGCAGCTGCTTTTGTGTGGACGAGGTTCTGTGGATGCTTTGATCTCTGTGCTTCTGGGTAGCATTTCAATTTGGCACTCCAGCCTGGGTGCTTCGTCGTGTGCGAGCTACCCTGTGTTCTGCGCTCTATAAAGGGCAAAGTGGTAGCACTGGGCTTTCATGACTTGAGGCAAAGAAAAGAGGGTCATGAGTAGAGCCATGTGTCTCTGTATCTCTCACACTTGTTTGGTGCTCTTCTGTCTCAGGTGGGAAGCCCAGCTGGGACAGAAACTTCTTCCATCTTCTATATGATCCCTAGAACCAACAGGCTGCATTAGATTCAATCAAGGAATGGACTGCGGGCTAGGAGGAATATGCTTAGGGCTTTGGAAGCTCTGTGACACACTGAATAGTGAGGTAACTTCCTCATGAAGTCTGTCAAAGAGAAGCCCTTGAGGTCGATATCCCCAATCCCATCTGCCCAGCCTTTCCCTGATGGTTATCCCAGGGCAAGGAGCCCTTGAAGAACCTCTTATTAATTTCCAACTGCATTTTGCTCTATTGTGTAGTATTTCAGTGACAGAATCCACTCAGGAGAGTTGGGGCAAGGCTGGCCAAGGTTATCAAGGAGCTGAGTTCTGAGTTCAGGTGCCCACATGGCAGTGGAATGATCCCTTCTGTCCCTTCAGACCTTTGAGACGTCTGGGAGGTCCTAGAAATCACATCAAGTCTCCAGTCCAGGACACAGCTGCCTAGGGGAATCCCAGGGACAGGCGGCAGGTAGTGTATCCTCTCTGAGTTTTCTTCTCTTGTCCTCCCATCCCTCCTCTGTGTGTGTGTCTGTTATTTACGATTCCACACAGAACACGATTCCATCGGTCACTGGTGCCCAAGGATTTATTCTATGTTCTTATCAACAGAGATTGCATGGCCTGCAAGGTGATGGACTCCAATGTGATCACTGCAGAATTCGCCAAATTCCAAACCACTGGCAGTTGGAACGCACAAGCCCCCTACTGGCGAGGAGGCAAGGGAAGCAAGCTGGGAGGAGGTGAGGACCCATCAGCTTTGCCCGCTGCCCCTTATCTCCTCAATGATTATATTGTTTGCACCCATTCTTAATGGCCTTTTCCCTATGTGTCCTCCTGTAGGCCCATTACTTGGCTAGAGAGAGATGGACCACCTTCTCAGGTCTTCTGGAAGTTGCTGAAACATGGTGAGGAAGGAATGTCATCACTCATAGGATGGAATCAAGAAACTCTTAGAATGGAACTAAGCCTGAAGTACTTCAAGCCCTGGGACCCCCCTTTGGGGTCGTACTGCTCTCTCTCTCTCTCTCTCTCTCTCTCTCTCTCGTATTTCTCTTTACTTAGTGCAGAGAATTGTACACAGGAACTGATTTAACAGGTATAATTTTGGTTAATAAAAAATAATATAAGAACTGACTCAAAAGAAGTTCAAGGACATTTATTATTAGCATTAAACACACACACACACACACACACACACACACACACACACACACACGAGAAGGCAAAATGTAAATCTCAGCATCTGCCCAGAGGTGGAAGATGGAGGAGAAAATGCAGTCATGCAGCTTAAGTTAAGGCAACAAGAAGGTCAACCATATGGCAAACAGGCAGGTGCATGGAGGCGGTGGGGGGAGGCTTTAAAGAAAGTGTGAAGGCTGAGTGTTCAGGAAAATGGCCCAGGAAGGAGATGGAGGGAAAAAAAAAGAGTTCTGAGTGGTTGAGAAAGGCAGGCACTCTTTCAAAGTTGCTTGGCCACACCTTTGTGAGGGACTTCACTAGAGTGTGGGATCCTGGAGAAGAAAAGTACATTATCTCATTAAAAAGATAATTATTCTTCTCATCTCTGTTAGAGTCAAGGTGGTCCCACCTTCCGGAGGAATGGTCCTGTAGCTTGGTGATTCAGCTGGGATGCTGGGTACCCACAAGCCCACTCTCCTTGGTGATTGACCAGCTCAGCTGGGATGCTGGGTACCCACCAACCCACTCTCTTCATCTGAAGGACACAGTTTTTCCTCAATTGGCCTCTACTGCCACTGTAACAAACAGATTCTGTTCCCAGAGGTCTCCTGAACTGAGGTCTCAGGCTAGGTGGTCAATGGGGCCATGTTATTGGACTAGTAGAGTTCTTACCTTTTCGTTAAAAATTCATGTCTTTTCTGTTTTTTCAAGTTTGGATTCAGGTGATGGCACACAGGAGTCCCATTGCTTAGCTACCAAAGACTTCTTTAACTGTGGTGCCAGCTACAGCTGAAACACAGTCAGGCACGTATTCCACCCGGGGCTCCCGTGAGTCGTTTCAGATGAATGTTGAACTACAAAGAACCATACACCTCACAGTTTGAGATTTAGGTTTTCTCTGATCCTGTAGTTAGAAAAGTAGACAATGTTTTAAATATCAAAGGTGGCTTTCAGTTGCTTCAAATCTTTGGGACAATTTTAGGTGGTTCGGCACTGCTGTTTTCTAAGGTCAGGTAGGAGTAGGGGACCAACGACATTACCAACTGCGTTGTTCAGGCCTCTGTAGGTCTGCCGACTTGAGAAGAGCTGAAGAAAGACAGCATGCTTCTGTAGGGGGGTTTGCAGGTGGGATGTTTCTGTGTCTGCCCTGTAACTATGTCTACCTTACAATAAAACACCTTGCTTGACTCAGCAATAAAGTGTCTGTTGAATTCCTTCCCAAGCGTGTCTTTAGTGATTTATCAGAGCATCCAGGAGACCTACAAGAGATTTTGTCTGCCAGAGATCTCAGCTGCATCAAGCCAGACCACTCTTTCAGAAGTGGCATTAAGGGGCTCTGTAGATGGCTCAGTTGGTAAGCTTGCCATCCAAACATGAGGACCTGGATTTGATCCTCAGAACTCACATCAAAACAACAACAAACCAAAACCCAAAAATGGACATGGTGGATTGTGCTTATGACCCCAGCATTGTGGAGACAGACAAGCAGCAGATGCCCAGGGCTCACTGGCCCAGCCAGCCTAGTCTACTTAGTGAGCTCCAGTGAATACTTTGGGATAGGGCCACACCCAATAAATAGTGGTTATTTCATTGTTATTGAAGAACAGGGCAACCCAGCACAATTGGATGGCCTCAGAGTAGCAGCACAGGCCTGTCTGCTTAATGATACGGAAATGCAAAGCAAAGATTCATGGAACATAAGTTAGGAGATGAGAAGCTGCTGCTCCTACCTTGTTCACAGAGCCAGATACCTTAGTTTCTCTCTATGTGAAATGGGTCCAATGTATTTTTTTCTCACACAGAGATGACACGATCTTCTTCATAGAAAAGGACTTACAAAGTGTGATTAAGGAAAAAGTTGCCACACAAGCAGAATGACCTGAGTTTGTTTGGGTCCCCCAAACCCATTGAAGGTGGATATAATAGTGTGTACGTATAAGCCCAGCACTCCTAGTCACAGGAGAGTCCCTGGAAAAGTATTTGTCAGCTAGCCTGCCATATGCAGGGGTGAACAAGAGACCCTGTCTCACACAAGGTGGAAGATGTGTACTGACATCTCCCTCCATGTGTGTACTGTGGTATGTACGCAATTATATTTGCAGGTGCTTGTACACACACATGCACACACTATATAAAAGAAAATGGCTATTGTACATAGAAATTTGGGTACTGCTCTTCCCATTTGCATCCTCAGGTTCATGCCATGATTATGGTAGGTGAATGCCTCCTTCTATACACTGACCAGGAAGTCTCTTTCTCCTTGGGATGCCACCCACAGATGGCCACTTTGGAGGGCATTTGTCACATTTGTAAGAAGCAGGTTTGATCATGCTCAACACTCTACATCACCATGCCTGAGATTTTGAAAGAACCAAAATGTGAAGGTAGGAAGTACGATTACCCAGTCCGGTGTAGCAAATGCTTTTCCTGATTGCCTAGAGTGTTACAGACACAGTCCCAGAATGTGAAGACAGACAAGACAGAGAAAATGTTCTCTACTTTCAACATTGAAAAGTCAAGGGAAGTTGGAGAGCAGGGCTTTGGCATAGGTGCTGGGAATTGAACTCTTAAAGTATTGACTGTGAGCCCCAGGCTTTAGCAATTGAGCTATCTCTCCAGCTCCCCTTCCTACTTTGAAATTGTCATAATGGTGTTAATAACTGTGGTGATAAACGAATACAATGGTTCTCAACCTGTGGGTACTGACCCATTTTGCAAACCTCTATCTCCAAAAAAATATTTACATTATGATTCGTAACAATAGCAAAATTTCCATTATGAAGTAAGTAACAATGAAATAACTTTGCTCACCACAGCATGAGGAACTGTATTAGAGAGCTGCAGTGTATGAAGGTTGAAAGACACTGAGCTAATAACTGTGCACATATTATGTTACCCACTAGGCAAAATGTTTTAAGAGCACTGAATCATTTAATTTTTATAATGGCAACATGAAGTAGGTCCCCCTGTTTCATGTGGGAGGAACTGAGGCATGAAGTGGACAGGTAACTGGGCCAAGTCCTCTGACTTATGAGAGGTGTAGTTGAGACAGTACAGGCATACACTACACCAAACCCTGGGCTCTTCCCAGCATGCTCAGCAGCTGTTTTTTCATTTGTTCTCTGACAATTTCATACATGTATATGATGAATTTTAGTCATCCACCCATTATTACCCCCAACCCACCTCTTATGTTGAACCCTTATGCTTCTCAACAAGCCCCTCTTCTCTACGTGTGTGTATGTCTCTCTGGGTGTGTGTGAGAGTGTGTGCATGCATGTTTGTCTTTCTGTCTCTCTGTCTATATGCGTATCTGTCTTTCTGTGTGAATGTGTATCTGTCTCTGTCTCTGTCTCTGTCTCTCTCTCTCTCTCTCTCTCTCTGTGTGTGTGTATCACTGACTTTATTTGGGGTAGATTGCTCATAGGTGGGTGAGTGGTACTTGAAATAGCATGGTTGGCATTTCAGTGACCATACCACTGAGAAATGACACTCCCTTCTTCAGTGACCCTTAACCATCATCGGTCCCTCAGAGAAAGGTAAGGCTTCATGAGCCCAATCCGTGAGGGAAAGTTGAAGGGCCTTGGAACAAGTCTTTCTCTGTCCCCCTAGCCAGATCCCAAATCATGACCCAGAGACTATAGCTCAGGCTTGGTTCCTAACTAGCCCTTATAACTTAAATAACCCATTTACATTAATTTGTTTGTCATGTAGCATTGCCTCTCTTCCATCTTGCACCTCCTATTTTCTATCCATGTACAGATACTCCCCCCCCCACACACACAAGGAGAGACATTTGAGACCCAGTTGGCAGAGTAGGCCTTCCCTTCTCCGCAGACAGGTGTCTCCACAGTTATGAGACATTTCCTTTTCATGGAAATCCTCAGCTAACACATGGGATCAGTCCAAAGCCACCTGACAGCAAGGCAGACTACAGTGCACTGACTGGAACAAGTAATTAAATATACGAGTGTAATGGGAAAGGAAGGTCTTCAGCCAGCCATCCCCACCCCACCCACATGGAGTTCAAGGATTCCTTTTGCCTTTGAGTCCCTTTCTTGTTAATTAGCATTGATTGAGCCTGCCCAAAGTGCCTGGCTCTTGTCAAATCCCATTACTGGATACTCCGAGACACTATCTGCCTGCCAACCGTTGGTGTGTGGGACACTGAGTGTATATGTCGTGCGGGGGGGGCGCTATTGAATATTCTGTGGAGTAGTTAACACATTGATCAAGGCTGTTATATAAGAGGCTTGCTTTTTCTGCTATGGCAGTTTTGTAGACAGGGTTTCATTTTTCTGCCATTAGCATTATCAACCCAAACCAGTTCTCCAAGGCAAGTTATGATGGTCTAAAAAGCATGTCAAGCTGACCCGCCGGTGCTGCTTTTAAGGATAAACATAGGAAAATGTCAACTTGGTACAGTAAAAAAGATGTGACCGAAGAAATGTATTTCTCTCTATGGTGTTCCCAGTCAAGATGTGCTGTGTAATTGGTTGGTGAGGTAAATGGAGGCCCAGAAACATCCACGGTCATTTCATGCTCTTAATCCACATCAGTGTTGCCAGAGGCCAGCCAGGGCTGTGTCCTCACAGCACACGAGGATGGAGCACTCCAGTCATTAGCCGCCCACTTCACCTTTACTCAAAACCATTAATGTGGAGAGAGGAAATAGTTGTATTCATTTCCAGATGTATTTTAGAATAAATGAATGGAAGTAGCTTCTTGACCTGGGGTGAGAAAGAAATCCATGCTCCGTCCTTGACTGTCTGTTCAAATTTTAGGGGGTCAAGTTTCCTATTTGAAAAAAAAAATCTGAGAATTACATTGCTCAATGGTTCATTATTTACTTTTGTATGGGGAAGACATGGCTGTCATTAAGGTTTGGGATCTGTTTTGTTTGGGGAAACTCATTGTTTCCTCTACTATTAGCTAAGATTTTAGTGCTGAGAAACTCTGAAAGTCCCAAAGACTGTAGATGGGTTTTATCCACCTGAGTGTGAGGATTATCATCATCCTTTTGACCACAGTAACAGAAGTTCTAGAAAGCATAGGGTTGAGATCCTAAGTCTGTGTTTACATTTTCTAATAGATGTGATGTTGTCGCTGTGCTATAGCTCTGCCCAGAGCTGCAGAGGCAGCCCAGGCAGTAAAGCTTGTGCTGCAAAAACCCACAGGAACCTAGATTTGAACTCCTAGAACCATGTAAAGAAAGCCAGATGCACTAGAGGTTGTCTGTAATCTCAGAGCTCTTATAAGACAGGGACAGAGATGGGAGACTCTCCAGATGGTTGAGAGGACCAGCTAGCCTGGCCTATGCAGCACTCAACAAGAGATGCTGCCTCAAACAAGGTGAATGATGAGAGCATCTGAGGTTGTCCTCCAACCTCTGCACACGAAAGTATGAAGACTTCAGTTAAAATACTATAGAATTCTATCATTCATTTAAGAAATTTCTATCTACTGTAAATAAATACCACTGAAATTTCTTTCAAAACATTCTGTGATGAGAGATAAATAGTGCCCACAAACAACAGAGTGCTGTGACTTGAAACGTCAGAGTCCTGACATCATCTGAAGGTTGCAACACCCCCTCCATCTCTCCTTTACCTGCTGTCTCTTACAGGAGGACATCTGTCCTCTTAAGTGTGTAAGCAAGAGCCAGCCAGGCTGTCTCCTCAACAGGAATAATAAGCAGCTGTAATAACTGCACACTGTGACTGACATTAATAAGACATTGTGATCCTGTAGGAAGACTCGGGCTGCAAAATAAATCACTGCATTCATTTATGCTATTGTTAGGGACCTGAACTTCTGACACTTGGAGCAGGTGCATCCCGTTTATTTTGGGGCCAAATGAAAAAATTCTTTTGTTATTTTCGCTCTTCTCTCTGACCCCTAAGGTAGGTGTTCTTCTAATGTTATCATCCTTTGTTCCTCAACTGTTTAGTTTTCTTTTCGGGATCCCATTCCACACAGGCACAAGCTAAGACATTATTTCTAGAAGGTATAGATCAGTAATCCAGCGTCCCTGCTCTCACATTGAATCTTCCTTTCTGTGCAGCGGTAGGGCATCTCCAACCCGGATGCCTCTTGGCAGTTCAGTTACCTGTCTACTTCCTCTTCCCAACCTGCTTTTCCTGCTTCTGTTCACTTCTTCCTGATTTCTG